AAAAACAGCGTTTTGAGAACCTGCGAGGGGGAGGAACTTGCAGGACGCCCACGACGACGACTGGTCCCCAGACAGCTTCGACGTGGTGTTCAACCATGACGGGAGGCGCGTGGCTCTGGACATCGCTGAGGCGGAAGCCCACCACGACCCAGCAAGAAGTGCGCTCCTCTGCGCGCTGGGACAGCGCGATCGCCGCGCAACAAGAACGCGAGCAGCGGCGCAGACCCTCCGCTCTGAACGTCACGCCTTGCGTGCTCCAAACGGACGGCCAGTCCCTGGCGAGCGACGCCGCCCTGTCTGCATTGCACGTGCTCGCGGTCACGGCTGGAGGGGACGCCGGAACGCGCGCCCTGGCTCCAGCCTCTGGAGGAGATCTGCGTCGCGCTGCACTCCGCCAGGGCGCGGCGCGTGGCAAGCGCACCCGTGCCCGCTGGAAGCGGGCCCTCGGCGGAATGCCACGACCCTTCTCCTCCTTTCCCCTCCTCCTCATCCTGTTCCTGCTCCACCTCCCCCTCTCCGTGATTACTTTGGCTGCTAAGATCGGCGTTGCATGTTCCATGTTGCACGCGCGAGCGAGCGCGCGCCGCTGTTGCCTGCCTCCCCTTTTTTCACCTCTCCCATTGTTTGTTGTTTCTTATTGTTTCATGGTTTCTCTCTCTCTCTCTCTATCGCTCTTACTCTCGCTCTTTCTCTCTCTCTCTCTCTCCCTCTCTCTTCTTCCTCTTCTTGCATCTAGCGATTCCATGAACACATGAAGGTGGGGCCTAATGGCTCACACACCCGGGGCGCGCACCCGTTTCCTTCGCCTGCTAGCTCTCTTCCTGCCTTTCCTCTCCGTCATCCCCCCCCTCCATCGGCGCGCGCTCGTCTTTCGGACTGCCACGGGCGAGTGGTCCTGGTGACTTGGGCATGGAGGACGATGACTAGATGGTTCTATTCGGCCCATCTTGAAACACGGACCACGGTTCCTCTTACATATGATGAAGGAGTCCGCTGCGATCGGCTAAGCGAGCTGGCTGGCGAGACAGGAACTACGGTGGCCTGGGTCGGCGTCAGCCAGGAGGGTGGTGTCGAAAAGGCGGACGTTCCCTCTGGGACGCCCCGAAAGAGCCGCCTGGTCCGCCAAGTCCGCGGGGGAAGCATCGGAGCGGACGGAGAGAGGATTCGGAGGGGGGAGGACAGGGATGAGGAGAGAGGGAGAACAAAAAAGAGAGAGAGAGAGAGGCAGAGATAGATCGCAACCGTTCTGGCGGGTGCCCGTCTGTGCGCGCGGGGTCCTGCCGCCCGACGCGCCCACCCGATGTGGCGGGGGTGCCGCTTGCGCGAGCAGGGGACGGGGTCGTCCATGCCCCTGGCGCAGTCTGCGAGGACAACGACTGGAAAACGAAGACGAGATGTGGTGATCAGGGCGAGGCTTGCCCCTCCTGCGCGCCCGTGAGCAGAGAGGCGCCGGCCTCGCACACGCTCTGGCATGCGTGATCCGGCGCCCCGACAGGAAAGGCACCACCTTGTGGCATCCCACGAGTGACAAGATCCTTACAGCGTTCTCGTCGCCGGATGACTCCAAGAGGGGGGCCCCTTTCTGTCGTGTTTGACCCTCTTGGCCCACCCCCTCTTGTGACACCACCTCCTTTTGCATGTTTTTGTTAGGTTGTTTTGCATGCGGTGGTTTCTGCGATGTGTTTTTTTATTTTGAAAGGTGTGTTTTAACCGTGCGTGGTGTTGATGGTGTTTTTTTTCTTCGTTGAAAGGGGCGTCCGGCGCGTTGTTTATTCATCCATTTTTTTGTTTTTGAAACGGGTGTTCCAGCGTGTCTGTTCTGTGGCTCCAGCGTCTCTTTGGTGGTTTCAGCTTTGCTTTGCTATGAAAGGTGGCTCCAGCGCGTTGTGTTGTTGGTTATGCGTTTTTCAGTTGTTCCTTTTCAGAGAGGATGCCAGCGTGCTGTTCTGTTTCGTGATTATGTTTTTGGACTTTGAAAAGGGTTTTCAGCGTACGTTTACTTACGTTGTGTTCCCAGCGCGTTGGTTTGTAGATTTCTTCGATTCCTGAAATTGGGGTTCCAACGACTTGTTGTGCGTTGTGTTTTGAAAGGGGGTGTCAGCGTATTTTTGATGGTCCAAGCGAGTTTCTGTTGATTCCATTTTTTGTTTCTTTGAAAGGGGGTCCAGCGCGTTGGTGCCGTGGATTCTGCAAATATGTATATTTTTTTCAGGTCGCTGAGTTGTTTCGGCCTTGGCGCGTTTCGTCGCTGAGTTGTGCTGTTATGTGTCGCTGGTGTTTCGGATTTTACATAAAAGACGTGCTGCTGAAGGCCGCCATGCTCGATGCGCAAGTCGTCTCACTCGCAGGCGTACGTCTGCTGGGGTTGGAGCAAGTTGCGCTGTTCAACGTCGTGATGCTCGAGTCCGCGGCGCAGCGCGGTGTTGCGATGGTGCCACATGTACCGCTCGAAGGCGCGGTGCTCGCTGCACTGCTCGTCTCGCTCGCGGGCGCGCGGCTGCCAGCGCTGGAGCCGGGCCTGGCACGCAACGCTGTGGTGCTTGATCCCAGCGCACACTTCAGCGCTGGGGCTTGAGTCCCTAGCATGCTGCTCGAATGCGAGGCGCACGCTGCACTGCTTTTCTCACTCGTAAAGGTGACGCTGTACTGCGTGGCCCCGTCGTGATGCGAAGCGTCGAAGAGCTGGCGCTGCATGCGCCGCGCGCAGACTTGCTGCTCGTTGCACTGTTTGGTCACAGTCGCGGGCGCGAGCCTTGGTTGTTTGGCCACGACAATGAGGACAAGAAAGATTAGGCGCGCGATCGCCCCGGGGGGGGTTTTCCACTCGCACTGGAGCGGTGCTCGGCGCAGCGCGGTTCAGTGGCTTCAGTGAAGCACGCGAGCCGAGGCAAACGAAGACCGTCGCTCGCCCCGCGTCGGTAGGAGAAACAACAGTTGCTGCAGAACACGCCTTTGTCATGAGCAATCCTGCCGCTTCTGTCGCAGCTGCGAAAAGAAGAAGGGAGAGTTGGGGCCGTGGGAGTAGGGGGCCCGCCCGCGCTGGCATCATCCTCGCTGTTCGGTGCGTCATGGGCATCTTTCTCTGCCACTTTTTCCGTCAGAAGCTCGCGAGGGGTCGCGCCGGGTGCTAGCGGTGTCAATGCCAGCGCGCGGGGCCTCCTCGGCGCCACCCTCCCGGATTCCGACAGGACGTGGGCAGACGGCGGGCTGCGGTCCGCATCGGTGTTTGCGGAATTTGCTAAGGCGCTTCCACTGCCGCGAACTCTGCCCCATGGTGCTCTTGAGACCTGTGAGTGTCGCGGTCGCTGGCGTGACGGGTAGCATCGGAGGTGCGGGCCCAGGCCCCTGGCATGGGCTTCCGCACGTGCGCAAGCGGGCATGGCGACTTTGCCATGGGCCCCGCCGTCAACGAGGCCGACGTCTCAACAAGAGTGGGCCTTGACGCTGGCGCAGCGTAGCCCCCCTCCCCCCTCGTGTCTGAGGCGGGCGTAGGGGCAGGATTGCAGTGAACAGGGAGGCAGCGCTTCATGTGCCAGCAGGACTACCCAATGCTGGTTCTGATCCCTTGCGCGGCCAATGACGGTGCCGTTTCGGCCAGTAGTGGGGCTGTTCGCCTAGCTAATGACCGTAGCTTCTGTCCTTTCCTGACTGGGCGGAGGCGCAGGTGGCGGGACGAGTCCTGTGGTGTCGGGTAGCGCGTCGGCGCTGGAAGTTCCTGCACTTGCCCTGGCGGGCCCCGGTTCAGTCCCGAGGCCTGTTCTGGTCGACTGGGAACTCACGTTACCTGGCACTTTGTTCGGCAAGACCACCTCATTTCAGGGGTCCCTTACGTGGTCCATCTCGTCAATTCGCGTGAATGCTGTCGCGGGAGCTGTTGCCATGGACACCGTGGTGGTGCAGTCAGCGGCGTTTGCTGCGCCGTGGGCGTCGCTGAGGCTTCGCCTGGCTTCGCCTGGAGCCCCACCCCCGGTGGGGGTACTCGTAGGGTTGGCAGTAGCTGCAAAGGGTGAATCCAAGGTTTTTTGGTGGCGGCTACCCCTTCCATGGCAACAACTGGGGAGATGACCGCGGAATCCCAAGGATGCCCGTGGGTGTTTTGGCCCTGGTGGGGTGTCGGTGGATGGCACTGGTGCGCGAAGTCCCGTGGTCGGCCTTGTGAAACACAAGCACGATTGGGACGCCGACCCTCAGAGGTCTCGACCGACTCGCCAGGACCCGATTTTTATTCTGAGTCGCTGTCGGACGGTCCCGAGGGCCGGTCCCGATCGGGGCGTCCCACGTTGGTGCACCACGGCTGATGAGAGGGCCGGTGCCGTTGCCCTCGTGGGCGTCGGCCAGAGCCGTGGACCGTGCTGGGTCATGGCTGGTGCCCGTCTTGTGCTTCGCGTTGTGGTGCAGCATGGTGTGGCCGATCTTCTTCCCGCGTAATTTCATCATCTCGCCCCTAAGATTACGCTGGTCGGGCGCGGTATTGTAAATAGATGATGTCAAAGTCGGTCCCTACCTGGTAGTTTGGGATGCGGCGGTGCATGAAGCGCACGGCGAGTGATCTCTGGAACCATTGCGGCGCCCGTGGGGAAATCGGAGGGGATGTGGCACGAATCAGTTATGTGGTGAAGGCCACACGCCTGGTCTCGTCACGCTATCATTGGAATAATGGGGGGCTGGTGTTCGCTGCGCCCTGGGCCCAGAGACCCTCGAGCCGAGACTGAAGAGAGAGAGAGAGAGGAAAACAAAAAAGGCAGAGACAGTGACTGAGACTGAAAAACAGATGAAAAGTAGAGGAGAAGAGAAGAGAAAAGCGAGAAGGAAGGAATGATGAGAGAGGAGAAAGGGAAGGAGGAGAACATAATAGATGAGGAACCCGAGGGCTCCCCCTCTCCTCCAATTCTCGCCAGAAGCCCAGGTTCCGCGCCTGTCACCCGCCTGAATATTACACCTTCCTGCCCCACCCGAAGCCCTTGCCCAGCTCCTCTCCCCCCTTGCCTCACCCGCAGAGCCTGCCGACGAAGCTCGCCAAGATCAGGTCGGGGTCCTGGCTCAGGCCAACCTGAGGGCGCGCCGAGGGAGCCTGCACGCTGTGCTTGCTCTGGGAGCCAAGGGGGGGAGGGGAGGGGCGGGGGGCGGCAAGCGAAGGGGAGGGGAGGTGAGAGAAGGGGGGGGGGGGGGGGGCGATCTCTGAGAGCGGTACCGTGATGGATACCTGCGATTCCGCGCTGTATTTGCCTTGAAGACGGCAGCGACTGGCGAGGGGGCCCGTGGCGACAATAATTAGCCTCGATGGCCGACGTGCCCGTGCTAACTTGGGAGGTGACTCACGCCGTCGCGCGCTACTAGTCGTGTCGCAAATGAACGCATGATCGAACTGATACGCTCCAGACTGATACGCTGCGGGAATGCCCAAAAGCTCGCACACGTTCATACAGACACACACACACACACACACTCACGCACACACATGTATGTATATATGTAAAGATTCTACATGCACGTGCGTGCGCGTGTCGACCATCAAAACCCCGCCACCTTTCTGGGAGTCAGTGGTTGCGGTGTCATTTCTTTCTGTTTCTCCGTCGTTTCGTCTTCGATGGAATGGAAACGGCTCACCTGGGGCTGGAAGGGGAGCAAGGTGGCAAAGGATGTCCCCAAGATGGCCCAAGATGGGCCCAGCTTGCCTCCAACAGTTTGCGGAATGTGGCCCAGGTTGGTCCAAGATCGCACCAATCCTGTAAGATTGCTCTGAGGAGTCCCAAGAGCCTCTCAAGGATGCTCTACGGGAGGCCAAACTCGAAAATAGCACCTTAGGTTCTCATCCACGTTGGCCGTAAGACCAGACATCGGCTTACAACAAGACTCTCAACAAAGAATATGTTCCGGAATAACGCAACAAGGCTCCCAATCAGGCCTGCGGGGACCGTAAGAGTCGCGTAAAGGCCGCCAAGAGGACTACTAATCTGTCATAGGAAGGTCCCACGAGCTTCGCGTCGGAGCCCAAAGGGGGGCTAATCAGAGACCCGTCCCTTCCTCGCTCCTGGCCTCGAGGATGGCTTCCAGCTTCCAGAAGGCCCCGCCGGCTCCCAGGTCCCGAAGAGCGCCACGAGAGTGCCATATGATGCTCCATAGGGGCCCAACGTTGCCGCACTTGGAATAAAACATAGAGGCCAAAGCTAAGCGAAGCAACGAAGGCGAGCTAGACGAAGCAGGTCTAGGTGCGATACGGCAATATCGTCCAATAATCTCCCTAAACCTCAAATCAACTCAACCGTTCCGAACAGACTTGCGACGACCACGGTAACATTACGCATGTACACACGAAGCGCATCGAAGCGGAGCTACGCAGAACCTCGATTCGTATACCTCTGGATTGGCAAAGTCGACGCCCTGCGCGATGGACAGGGTACAAAACGTCCCTGGACATGTCGGAGGGGGGGGACCAAGACATCAAAAGCTCCCGGAAAACCAGGGAGGATGGGGCTGGACAGGGGCCTCTCTAACCAGGGGGGGAGCCCTTTGATGGGGGGGGTCGATCGGGGGGAGAGGGCCTTCCTGTCCAAGGGGGGGAGCCGAACAGCCCCCTTCCTCCTTAATAGAACCTTATTTATGCTCGATCAAACTCTGAAACCATAGCCTAGCACGAAAGGGTATCGCTTCAATTGCATCCTAGTCGGACTCGATCCGATTCTCATAAGAAATCCTACTGCAACTGAACCAACTCCAAGTGAGCCCTACTCAAGCTCGATAGAGCTCAAATGCTATCCAACTAGAGGTGGACCCAACTTTAATAGCTTCCAGTCGGGCTCGATCCAACTCTACTGGAATCCCACTATGGTTGAGTCTAGTTGAACCCTACTAAGGCTCGACCCATCTCCCACGAAACCTACTACGGCTCGCTCGCCGAGGTGGCCACATTTAAGTGCGAAATCAGCTGATATCGCATCGCCAATTCGAACTCCGCCCCCTTGCATTTCAGAGGGGGGTGGGGGGGGGGGCCACCCGGTTCAAACTCCGCCCCCCCTTCGAAGCGTCCACAGAAAGGTTGATTTCTTATTTCGAATCGGTTGAGTCGCAGCGATGGAGGTCGCACAAAGCGTGGCGGCCGACAACGAGATGCACAACGGCAAACTGACGTGAAGGAGGCAAAGGGAAAGAACGGCGGACGTGACATGGGGACCGAAGTGGGCGAGACACATTCGAAAACCCTTATACGGCAAAATTTCGTCACGCTGCGATTGCCGGGTTGGCGAAATGATGTCGCACACGCTCTCCGTACATGGCGGCACGTGCGCCACCTGTGATGTGATGGCAGCCAGCCAGCTGCCCAATGCTGCCACTGCCAGGCCAGCGCAGGCAGCATGGAGAAGCTAGGTCACCCATAGGGCATCGAAAGCAGGGAGGAGTTGCGAGGAGAGAGGGAAAGGGGGAAAATAACAAGAGAAGGGAAAGAGGAGGAAAACTGAGAGGGAACAATCCGAGAATAATTTGTTGTTGGCTGGCCTCGCGGCCACGTGCGCGGCGGCGCGGCGTAGGGCAAGTCCACTGAAGAACAGCGCGCGGTATTCACACACACGCCCACGCGCGCACGCACGCATGCACGCACGCACGCACGCACACACTTCTGTCACTTCGCGGCTTCATCCAAATCAACGAGGGGGTTAGCGGGCTGCGCTAGGATGGCTACCACCGAGAGTGTGCCGATGGAACGGCCACAGACTTGTTTGCTGCCAAGCTGTCTCGTCAACACACAACGATCGATCAACGAGGCCGCTAGTGAGAATTACCATCAAACATTGCCGATGGGAAGGCAACCGACACACACACACACAAACAAACTCCCCGAAATCTACAAATACGATGCCGCGATGATGGTGTCAGATGAACATACACAGGGCATTACAAACACTCGACTTCCAACTCCACCCTTCCCATTAGACCTCCACCAACAATCTCCCCCTTCTCCGTTTCTGTCGTCTGCTCTATTTCTCCTTCTTCTGATTATTGTTATTCTTCTGAAACGTCACGCCATCCTATCCTCCTCCATCCCCTCCTCTTCCACCCTTCTCCCTCCCCCTTCTCCTCGAATCATGACTCCACCATCCAGGTCCAGGATGGCAACGCCAACGCGCGCGCACGCCTTCTCCTGCAGCTGCCGCTTGCACATCGCCTGCCAGACAAGCGGATCGCGCAAGGGATAGGCGGAAGAAGGGAGGGACAATGGAGGGAGGGCGGGGAGGAAGGCGGCAACAGGAAGGCGGTCTGGAGTAAGGGGTGGAGAATGAAGGGGAGTGGATAAAAGATGAGGGAGAAGGGAGAGGGAGAAGCGGGAGAAGGGAGGAGGAAAAAGGAGGACGCATGGAGAGGAAAAAAGAGTCGGAGGCGGAGTAAGGATCCGGGGCAGGGATGAGCAGAACGAGACGAGGGGGGTAAGGACAGGCAAGGTGAGCGCGCCACACCTGACATCTTACCCCTCCCACCCATCTCGTCCAATTGCGCTGATTGTTCTCTAACCACCGATGCGTGTCCTAGCAGGCCTGGGTCCCCAAGCGATCCTGTCGTGTGATGCGCACTCACGAAGACGGGAGTTCTGTACATTGGAGGAGCTGGTGACGGATAAGCACGAGGATGAGCAGGAGGAAGAGAAGGATCTGGAAGGATGAGGATGAGCAGCAGCGGCAGGAACAATAGCAGGAGCAGAAGCAGCGGGAGGAGCAGGATGAACAAGGGCAGGATGATGCAAAGAAGGGGAGCGACAACGACAAGGAACAGGATCCAGAAAAGAGACCCGCGAGAGCACAATTCTGAACGACTGAAGCAAACCATCGATCCTGAAGTGAGGTCAACGCTGCAACGGGTGCACCATCTCTTGGGATGAAACAGCTACGCTCCGATTGGAAACCTCTTGGTGCGCAGGCGCATGCGGGCACGAGGCCGTTGCAGATGTCAGTCAGCATCAGGAGGGGCGCTTCGGAAACGAACTGAGGCACAAAGGAAAAGGGGCCGGGCAGGGGGGGGGGCGGAGAAGGGGGGAGAGCCACTCAAAACGTGAAGCTCGTCATGGGCGCGCCAACGACGTGCAGGAACGTGGGTGCGTCCGATTGGAGGCACAGACGCATCTGAAACATCAAATGAAGAAACCGCTTGCCCCAGAAACAAGAACGCCGAAGAAACGACGCTCACCTCGCACAGCATCCTGGGAGAGAGGGGGAGGAGGAGGGGAGTAAGAAAGGGCGAGGAGGAATGAGACGGGTAAAGGGAGCAGGGAGGAGACGGAGAAGGAATGAACGAGAAGGCGGGGGGGAGGCAGCGCAAGGACGCGGTAGAGAAGGCGGAGGAATCCAGCATACCAAACGGAGGAGCACGGCGATGAGTAGGGAAGAGGGGCAGGCGGTGGAAGAGGGTGAGAGGAGAAGAGGGACGACGAATACGCAGGATGATGTGGTACCGGGGGAGAAGCATGATTGAACAGCGGAGGATACTTTGGCGGATGGAAGAGGGTGGAGGATAAAGGAGGGTGGAGGAGGCTGGACGAGGAGGTGCATCGAGAAGGGGGAAGAGAGAAGAGAAGGCTCAGGATTGAGCGAGGAGAAGGCAATAGGATGGATAAAGAAGAAGGGAGGGGGATGAGGTAGTCGGAATGCATGCAGGGAGGTGGTATGAAGACGCAGAGGAGGAGACAGAGGTGGAGCAATGATGAGAAGGGAGCAGGGAAGAAATAATGAGGGGAGAAGACGACGTCACGCCCCGTATAGCGCTGGCCCAACGAAGTTCCGGAGCATGTCTGGTGACAGCCAAGGAATCGGGAAGGATCTGGGAAGGGGCTGAGGGGCAAACCAAAGCTGGAGACATCGCCAAGCCCTTCCGCCTTCCCCGCCCTGCCCTGGGGCTCGTCCCTCCTTCGGACACTGTACAAGGAGTGACCCTTCGCTGGAGTAACCTCTGGTGCGCGGCTCTCGGGGGGCGGAGAGGGGCCGCACCGAGATCCCGCAGCCCGACGATCGCACGCAGCGATCGGCAGGGCGCGCACCAGCGGTCACCCCTGCGCAAGGTCACTCTCGCGTGTTGCCGAGGGAGGTGGACTATCGGAATGGCGGTGCTGCCACCCATCGGCCCCATCTTGAAGAGGTTCGCTGGCCCCGCCAGTCGGAAGCCGGCGACATGGGCGCGGAATGGCCTTCCCCTCTGCCAAGGAGTCCGCGTCGTACTGACCTCATCGTGCGCAGCATGAGCTGAGCGGACAGCATCTCATCATCCACCGACTCGCTCAAGTTAAGATAATCAAGCCGAGCGATGGAACGTGACATTACACTTCTGCTCAGTAGCAAGCTATACATTCGTTGGTTTCCGACACTTGCCTGTTAGCTGCGGAGGAAGCCCTGATCTAACGCATGTGAAAGGCACACGCGCTTTGCCTCAACCTTGGTTTCCAGGTAACGGGGCACCGAATGCAAACTTATATGTGCCATCATTGCGCTATGGACAGCAGGTGGCCGAATGTCAATTGAACTCCGCAGCAACTGGTTGCAGAGTCGCCTGTCCGCCCTGGCTTCCAAATCAAGAACACGCCTACTGTTCAAATAACCTGTCCTAGCATAAATCCACCACCGACTCAAACACAGAAACATGATAACAACTGCACGTGGGCACACAGCTACACATGGCTATATATATGTGTGTATATATATACATACTAGAACCATCGCGCGCGCTTCGCGCGCGCTCAGGTTCTAGCAGGCCCCAGGCCTTGACGAATTCACTGCTCCACTGAAGTAGTGGACCACAGTCCACGAATGCCAATCTGCATTCCGAAAGGCCTTCGAGGAAAATGGTTGTGTATGGGGGGCGGAGGCCGTATGAATCGGGTTCCCAGAAGGCCTTCTGGGAGCATGGGTTTGGGGCGTCTTGGGGAGCCTGTCAGGGCGTGCCGTCGTCGTCGTCGTCGTCGTCGCCGTCGTAATGTCGTCGTCGCCTATTGGGGCGCGCCGTCGTCGTCGTCGTCGTCGTCGTCGTCGTCGTCGTCGTCGTCGTCGTCGTCGTCGTCGTCGTCGTCGTCGTCGTCGTCGTCGTCGTCGTCGTCGTCGTCGTCGTCGTCGTCGTCGTCGTCGTCGTCGTCGTCGTCGTCGTCGTCGTCGTCGTCGTCGTCGTCGTCGTCGTCGTCGTCGTCGTCGTCGTCGTCGTCGTCGTCGTCGTCGTCGTCGTCGTCGTCGTCGTCGTCGTCGTCGTCGTCGTCGTCGTCGTCGTCGTCGTCGTCGTCGTCGTCGTCGTCGTCGTCGTCGTCGTCGTCGTCGTCGTCGTCGTCGTCGTCGTCGTCGTCGTCGTCGTCGTCGTCGTCGTCGTCGTCGTCAAGAGGGCACTTGGGACAACTTTGTGCGAAACGATCTGCGGAGGGCCGCGAGAAAACGATCAGTCATGTTCACAATCAACTTCCCAGACAGCTCTCCTGTAGCATGATGGTACTTCGAAGCCTTCGGAGACTCGCAGGCCCATGATGAACCACGTCCCCGGAAGGCTTTCTGGGGACATGGTTTGTTGGAGTGTGTTGGGGGGTCTCTTGGGCGTTCCCTGGGGGCCCATTGGGGGCCTCTGGGAACTCTCAGGCCCATGATGAACCATGTCCTCGGAAGGTCTTCTGGGGCCATGATTTCTTGGGGTGTGTTGGGGGGCCTCTTGGGCGTTCCGTGGGAGCCCCTTGGGGGTCTCTTGGGGCTTTCTGGGGGCCTCTTGGGCGCCTCACGGGGCTTCGTGGGAGCCTCTTGGTGGCCTCCGGGGGCCTACAGGCGGCCTCTAGGGCCAGAGACCTAGAAATATCGGTTGGCGGTCCCCCTCTGGGCCCTCTCTTGGGGAGCCCTTGGGGCACACTTGGGTTGTCTGGGGAGCATCCTGGGCCGTCTTGGGGCCCTCGTCGGGGCCTCGTGGGCCTTCTTGGAGCGATCTGAAGGGCCTCCGAGCGAGGCCGTGAGGGAGCGATGGGAAGCGGGGAAAGCGAGAACGCCTAAATCCTTCAAAAACCATCGGAAAATTAGTGAATCTTGCCTCCCAGGGCCCTCTTGGGGAGCCTCTTGAGTCCGTCCTGGAGCGTGCTCGAGTCCTCGTCGGCCGTCTTGAGGGCAGCTTGGGCGTCTTCGGGGCCTCTTGGGACCGGCTAGGGCCCCTCGGGACCTCCATTAGCCTGTCGTGGCCTGCTTCGGGGCGGGCTCGGGCCGCCTCGGGACCCCTCTGGGCCTTCTCTTGGCGCGCTCTTGGGGCACACTTGGGCTGTCTGGGGAGCATCCTGGGCCGTCTTGGGGCCCTCGTCGGAGCCTCGTGGGCCTTCTTGGAGCGATCTGAAAGTCCTCCGAGGCCATGAGGGAGCGCTGGAAAGGGGGAAAAGCAAGAACGCCCAAATCCAAAATACTCGGAAAACGAGAGAATGTCTTCCAGGGTCCTCTTGGGGAGCCTCTTGAGTCCGTCCTGGAGCGTGTTGGAGTCCTCGTCGGCTGTCTTGAGGGCATCTTGGGCGTCTTCGGGGCCTCGTGGGACCGGCTAGGGTCCTCTCGGGACCCCTTAGCCTGTCGTGGCCTGCTTCGGGGCGGGCTCGGGCCGCCTCGGGACCCTCTGGACACCCCCCCGCAACCCCTGGTGGGTACCGATGGGGGGAACAGGCAGCGGCCTGCCCCCCGCCGGGGCCTACTCCGAGATATGTTCCCGGGAAGCTTTCCGGGAGCATGATTTGTTCGGCTCTCTAAGAGGGGGGCCTCTGGGGGCTTACCGAGGGGTGCCTTTTGGCCTTTTCGGCAAGCCTATTGGAAACATGGTTCAACGGTGGGCGGAAGCAAAAGGAATCATGGTCCCGGAAAGCTATCTGGGAAATACGATTTACCGAAGTGTATTGGGGGCCCGAAGGGGGCTTCGCCTATTGGGGCTTCCGGGGGGCCTCTTGGGAGCCTCACGGGGCTTCTTGGGAGCCTCTTGATGGCCTCCAGGGGCGTCCTAGGAGCCTCTCAGGCTGGAGACCTCGAAATGTCGCGCTCTTCGGGCCCTCTTGGGTCGCTCTTGGGGCTCTCTTGGGGCGCTCTCGAGGCCCTCTTGACTTATCTGGGGAGCCTCCTGGGCCGTCTCTGGGCTTTCTTGGGAGCCTCTTCGGCCGTCTTGGAGCGATCTGAAGGGCCTCTGACGGGGTCCGGGACCGTGGGGAGGCGGAACATGGGAGAGCGCAAGAATGCTTCAAAAACCATAGGAAAATGCATGATGTTCTGCTTCTGGGGCCCTTTGGAGGGCCCTCTGGAGGCGCTCTTGGGGCGTTTGGGCGACGTCGTCGGCTGTCCTGAGGCCATCTTCGGCGTGTCCGGGGCCTTTGGGGTTGTCTTTGGGCTCCTCGGGGGCGTCTGGGCCACACTCTAAAGACGAAGCAACCGAGTATGCTGAAAATGTACGTTTTACGCAGGGAATGGGCTAATTTTTGCCTCTTGAGGGCCCTCTTAGGGCCGTCTTCGGCCATCTTGAAGCCATCTCGGGCCCTCTGGGGCCTCGCTGAAGCTGTCTTGTGGGCCTCTTGGGCGTCCTGGGAACCTAGAAATCATGTTCCCGGAGAGGCTTCCGGGAACATGATTTCGAACGAGGCCCTCTTGGGCCTCCGAGGTCGTCATGGGGGCCTCCTGGGCCAACTTCGGTGCCTCTTGGGCCGTCTCGGCGGGATCCGTGAGTCCCACGGGACGATCTTTTTGGGCCGTCTTGGGCCCCCTTGGGTCTCTCTTGGGCTGTGTTGGGGCTCCTCGGGGGCGTCTGGGGCACTCTGAAGACGAAGCAACCGAGTATGCTGAAAATGTACGTTTTACGAAGGGAATGGGATGATTACCTAACAGCGAAGACTGATAGGTTTCTAGTAGGCTCACAAGAGAACATCATGACGCCCCAAGGGGGTCTGGGCAGATGCCGGACGGGTGCCGGGGAGAATCCGCGGAAGTCGTTTTAGGCAAACAGATCCACACTTCGTGGTCTTCGAGGTCCCAGAACTCCATTCCCGGGCCACATTCTGAATGCCCGGAGCCAACTGTAGGCCACTTCGTGCTCTTCGAGTTCCCAGAACTCCATTCCTGGGCCACATTTTGAATGCCCGGAGCCAACTGTAGGCCACTTCGTGGTCTTCGAGTTCCCAGAACTCCATTCCCGGGCCACATTTTGAATGCCCGGAGCCAACTGTAGGCCACTTCGTAGTCTTCGAATTTCCAGAACTCCATTCCTGGGCATGATTTTGAATGTCCGGAGCCAACTGTAGGCCACTTCGTGTTCTTCGAGTTCCCAGAACTCCATTCCCGGGCCACATGTTGAATGCTGAGACAGGCTGATGCTGAGGCTGAGGCAGGCTGAGGCCGAGGCTGGCTGAGGCTGAGGCCGAGGCTGAAGGCAGACTGAGGCTGAGGCTGAAGCAGGCTGAGGCTGAGGCTGAGGCAGGCTGAGGCTGAGGCTGAGGCAGGCTGATGCTGAGGCAGGCTGAGGCTGAGGCTGAGGCTGATGCAGGCTGAGGCTGAGGCAGGCTGAGGCTGAGGCCGAGGCTGAAGGCAGACTGAGGCTGAGGCTGAAGCAGGCTGAGGCTGAGGCTGAGGCAGGCTGAGGCTGAGGCAGGCTGAGGCTGAGGCTGAGGCAGGCTGAGGCTGAGGCTGTGACTGCGACTGCCGTTGCCACTGCGACTGTCATCGCGAATGCGACTACGACTGCGAGAACAGCAGAATTCTACAACTGGATTCTCATCTGAATCTTAAGGGGAATGCTTCCAAATATGCTCCTACACATCGCTGTTAGGTTGCTTTGCCTGGAATTTGATTTCCTCTTGAGGGCCCTCTTAGGGCCTTCTTCGGCAATCTTGAAGCCCTCTCGGGCCCTCTGGGGCCTCGCTGAGGCTGTCTTGCGGGCCTCTTGGGCGTCCTGGGAGCCCGGAAGTCATGTTCCCAGAGAAGTCTCGGGGAACATGATGTCGAACGAGGCCCTCTTGGGCCTCCCTGAGGCCGTCTTGGGGGCCTCCGGGGCTGACTTCGGGGCCTTTTGGACCGTCTTGGGGGGTTCCGTGAGCCCCACGGGACGATCTTTTTGGGCCGTCTTGGGCCCTCTTGGGTCTCTCTTGGGCTGTGTTGGGGCTCCTCGGGGGCGTCTGGGGCACTCTGGAGACGAAACAACCGAGTATACTGAAAATGTACGATTTACGATGGGAATGGGCCGATTGTTGCCTCTTGAAG